TCACTCTGGATGTGGATTAAAAACCAAGGAGGCTGTTTAACCATAGGTTTATCTGAAACAGTTGAGTACCTCTTGGTGTTGAAGGAAGGCCAGCAAGCAGCACAGCCCTGGCAGCTGGTTAGCTGGCATCCCACCCCTGGGCCTTTCCTTTCCACTGCCTGGGGTCAGATGCTGAGGCTCTGTCTACCCTAAGTCCACTCCTGAAATCTTACATCTCTTAGCTGCAGCTATAATAAACTGCACTAGTTTAGGCCATATTTTCCCACACTAACTCATTTTTTTTTCAGAAGGACTGAATGATGTGTCAACAAAACATGTAGTCCCTGTCCCTTGTTGTACACCCATAAAAGCATTTGATATGAGGAGGTTTGAGAGAAGTCTGACTATAGAAGAAACTTTTAGAACAGCAGAGTGATAACATTGCACGCTGGTTTATTTTGCAACTTCATCAGTTTTATCTTTATTTTCCTTAGTCTGTGTGAGGCTTCTTGCAGGAAAAGGAATGTGGGTTTGGGTCCACTTAAGGGAAATTTGCAACTCTGCCCAGCCCTTACTGGCTGTGCTGTAGAGAGAGTTACTTTGTGACGGCAATGATGTCTTGTTACTGTTGCACTACATTGGAATAAATTTTATGGCCAAAATTGGGGGGTTTGTTTGGTTTGGTCTGTGATTTGAATATTTATAATTATGACCTCAGAGAAAGAAAAAAATTAGCAATCTGATTTCTTCTTGTATAAAGAATGGATAGGTAACAAATAACACAGTGGAAATTCTTCTCACTTTTTTCCTCAGACTTTTGTTTGTTTCTTTTCATCTTATCAATATCCCCTTGATGAAGGAAAGACTTGTAAGGTGATTTACAGGAAAGTAATTTTTAAGTGTCCCTTTAGCCTTTAAACAAAGAGGAGATGTTCTCTTCACTGTAATGTAATCAGTAATTACCTGCTTTCTGCAGTTTGTAACTGATTTTATTTATAAAGTTTCCCAAGGTACAGCTCATTATTATCAAAAGGTCCAGGTCCTTTTTACCATAGAATCATGCAGTGGTTTGGGTGGAAGGGACCTTTAAAGATCATCTAGTTCCAACTCCCCTGCCATGGGCAGGGACACCCTCCACTAGACCACATTGCCCAAAGCCCCATCCAACCTGGCCTTGAACACTTCCAGGGAGGGGGCATCCACAGCTTCTCTGGGCAACCTGTTCCACTGCCTCGCAACCCTCGTCATAAAAAATTTCTTCCTTACGTCCAATCTAAATCCATCTTCTTTAAATTTAAAAACCATTGCACCTTGTCCTCTCACTACAGGCCCTGGTAAAAGGTCCATCCCCATCTTTCTTATAAGCCTCCTTCAGGTACTGGAAGGCTGCTCTAAGGTCTCCCCAGAGCCTTCTCTTCTCCAGGCTGAACAATCCCAACTCTCTCAGCCTGTCTTCATAGCAGAGGTGCTTCAGACCTCTCATCATCTTCGTGGCCTCCTCTGGACTTGCCCCAACAGCTCGGTGTCTCTCCTGTAGTGGAGCCTCCACAGCTGGATGCAGTACTCCAGGTGGGGTCTCACGAGAGCAGAGTAGAGGGGCAGGATCACCTCCCTCGACCTGCTGGTCACGCTTCTTGTGATGCAGTCCAGGACATGGTTGGCTTTCTGGGCTGCAAGCGTACACTGCCGGGTCATGTCCAGTTTTTCATCCACCAGTACTCCCAAGTCCTTCTCAGGGCTGCTCTCAATCCCTACATCCCCCAGCCTATATTGATACTGGGGATTGCGCCGACCCATGTACAGGACCTCACACTTGGCCTTGTTGAACCTCGTGAGGTTCACGCAGGCCAACCTCTCCAGCTTGTCAAGGTCCCTCTGGATGGCATCCCTTCCCTCCAGCATATCAACTGCACCACTCAGCTTGATGTTATCTGCAAACTTGCTGAGGGTGCACTCAAGCCCACTGCCTATATCATTAATAAAGATATTAAACAGTACTGTTCCCAATACAGACCCCTGAGAGACACCACTCATTATTGGTGACTGCAGCTCTTTGGATATGGCCATCCAGCCAATTCCTTAGCCATCTAGCAGTCCATCCGTCAAACCCGTATCTCTCCAATCTTTTACTTTTTCCTTGTTTTCTGCCTTCTGCCGTCAGCTCCGTAGGTCATTGGACCTTTTCGTAGGCCAATTTAACTCACTAGAATAGCGGAAATACTTGTGCTTTACTGACTTTTCTGCTGTTTTGTGAGTTCAGTTAGCATGTGGAAAGCCTGATGATGTGAGCTATCAGGGAAGGTGGGGAAAGAGAAAAGATAGCCCTCCCTATTCTGCAGCAGTGAGCTGCTAGATCAACTCATCTACTCAAGGAAGCATAAACATAGCCTTAATAATTATACCAGGTCCATAGCATATTTTGCATTACATTTTTCAAGTATCCGGGATGAAAGAAGGAAAGTAGCATAAATGGTTTAAAACATGACCCAGTAAGCTTGAAAGCACATTCCTGTGTACTTTCCCATCTGTAATATGGATATTACACATTGCTACAAAGGGTTGTTTCAGTACTTAATAGAGCAGTCTTTTAATTGGCTGTTTTTCTTGGCAACTGTTGATCTGATGCCCGATTTTTGTAGGTTGTGCAAAGATCAGCAATAATTTGCTGTAATGTTACAAATGCTGAAATGGACAGGCAGGCCACTTGGTACCACTCTGTATCTAGTACTGGCAGACCTGGTTTATTTGCTTGTTGTCTTTATGTCTTTGAAATAAAAGGACAATTAATAATATTTTTTTTAAATGTTTAGTATATTCATAAGTGCAATAAAAGCCTTGGATGCCAGTACTATAGTACTATTGCTGGGTGATTATAGTTGTGGGAGGTATTGTACATCTCAGAACAGTATTTAAGCTTTAAAAAGAAGAGCAGAAGTAACAGAAAACATAACTGAAAAAAAATACTTGCTTTCCTTTTGAGAGGGATGACAGGGGAAACAGGGACTTGCAAAGAAATAAATATGTTTTATAAAACCAAGGCATGCTTAAAAGGGAATAACCTGCAGGTTGTTAGTGTTACTAACCTTTTTGGGCATGTGTTGTATTTATGTGGTGAGAAATTGCCTAGGCATTCAGTCATGTGATCTATGTATTTTATTTACTCTGGAGAACTGAGACTGCTTCAGGCCAAGGAATTGACCAAAAGTCCCTTGAAAAAATTAGAGACATTTTCTTACTAGCCGTAGCATGGAGAGTAAAGTTATGTGTTTTAGTGTGGACGATATCTGCACAACTTGTAATTGTATATAAAAAAAAAATCACGTTCCTGGCTAGACTAAATATATGATAATAGAGTTGAGTCACAGTGTGATAGTGCTTTTGCCACTGTGTGAAAAATTGGAGAGCTTGTGTTTCCCTTATATTCCAAAAAGCTCGTATACTTTGAGCTAATTCATTAGTTTTTACCTTGAGTGAGCCCAGGACCATGCTGTTTCTTGTACACCTTCCAACTCTACTTTGAAAACAACACGCACATTAAGGCACATGGGTTAATGTTTTTGTTCTTACCTTCCATTACAACCATTAGTTTTATAAGTCAGGATATACTGTCATACATGCTGCAGCCCAGTAATTCTGAGAAGTGCTGCCGAATACAATGAAAGCGTCACTAGGACACACCATCATCTCATTTTGACCCTCTCTTAAGTTGCCGTTGGGTAACGATCTGAGATGACTTGTTACATTTTCCTACTGTGCTTTTTTTATTCATGCTTTGTTGGTTTTTAGCATTCTGTCCAGTTCTGTAGGGTGTCTCCTTGCCCAGTATTATAAATGGTTTTGTGTTGAACTGGTATTTACACAGGTCTCCAAGAATGCTTCAGGAAATGTCTTTTTTTTTTTTTTTTTTTTTTTTTTTTAAAGGAACTATAATATGAGTTAGTGGTGTAGTGTAAGAAAGGGTTGAAAGGACATCATGTTGTGGGAGAGGATGTTATTCAGTGGAAGTAATGCAAAGGGAACAGTCATGGCTGAAGGAAAGCTAGTACATTGATGACTTTGCAATTCGACTTACCGTGACTTCCTCCTGCATCTTAAAGAGATATGTATTTATTCTAGTTAGTTCCATTTGAAGTCAGCAGGAGCAGAATTGGGTCCCTGTAGTTCTAAACCTCTTGTGTTTTTCTGGCTGATTCAGGTGTAGTTAGCCTCAGTGCCAGTGGAGGAATGGACTTAAGGAGCTGTCCTCTGATGTGTACCTGGTTAATACTGAAGTTGTCCTCCACAAATGTGTCTGTGTGTATGTGTGATATGTGAGAAAGGCAAAATTTGCCCTGAATTTGTGAAATCATTTGAAATAGAATATTCCATGTCACTTTTAAAATATGCAATAGAGTTATATAGCATTGGTACTGTGGAAGAGCTTTAGTTTGCTAGGAAGTCTATAACATTGTTAAAATAACATTAGGAGAAGTTTCCAAAAAGTGGTAGTAACAGCAGGGTGCCCTTTGGTAGTTAAAAATTGTTACACTTGCAGGATAAACTTTTAATAGTTTATTGTGCACTAAAGTCACTTTTGAAAGATGCAACAGGGGGATTTTTTTGGTTGGTTGCCTTTTTTTTAATGTTCCTCTGCAGCCATCTATACTGTATAGAATCTTATTGTAGCCGTTTTTAAAGAAGTTTGTCCTTTCTGAGGGTTAGGTGCAGTAAGCTGAGATGCCCAGGCAAGACATCTACATTTCTGCAAAGTGTAGTGCCCTTGGAAAATATGTGAAACCTTGTAGAGTGCAAAGAATAGATAAGCTTGCAAATTCAGGGCCTAAAGCTGTTAAATCTATTATGTGACTAATTTAAAGTTTTGAGTTCATAATCTGCACTAGAAAATAAGCATTTTCAGTTAAGAAAATACTTTTCTGAATTCATTCTCACAGAAAATACAGGCTGCATTATTGTTGGTATATTTTTTTCCCACAATTTAATCTCATTTTTCTTTAATTGTTTTATTCACTTCTTATTTTTCAGGAGTCTTTGAAAAATCCTTAGTGGTCATGACATTGTTACAAGTGACATAAATTAGCCAGTGGCTCAGAATGATGGATACCCAGAAGACTACAAATGGTTTGCAAGTGATTGGAGAAGGGACTGGTATAGGGAAATCGACACTCCACATGGTGGGGTATTTGGGAAAAGTCAGTTGAAACTTGTTTTACATGTGTGCAAAGTTCATATTTTTCTCTGCATTAAGAGATTTTTAATTGGTCTTAATTTTACAAAAAAACCCTCAAAATTATTTTCCACGGAAATCTATAACAATGGCGAAAGATTATTCTAAGTAAATCTGTGCCTATGGTGTTTTTTTACTGGCACTACTTTTACTGCTGTTTGCATTCCTATGAAAGTTTATTTGTTCTTTCAAAGATCTGAGCTTGCGTTCCCTGGCAATAAGTGTCTGCTGGTTTAGTTCAAGTAGAATGAAATGTTGCATAATTGCGTTTTGCTAAATATACCTTATTAAATATTTCATATTTAATTCAAAAAGATAAATTTATTTGGAACACTCTACTCTCATAAATATTAAAAAAACAAATCTAGTTTACTTTTCTATATTGTATTAGGTATTATATTTAGAAGTTGCATGTTGGTTTTCTGTCTTGACATGTGTGTATGTCGCACGTTGGGATAATATATCTAAGTTTATGCTGCTTTTTCTTTTTTTTTTTTTTTTTTTTTTTTAAGAACTGTAGTCCTGTGGAGACAACTGCACCTGAGTACTGTCCAGTCTGCAAAGAGAAGGGCCAGATCCAAGTTTTACGGACTTACCGCATTAATTTTCAAGAGTCTATTTTTCTTTGTGAAAATCCTCAGGTATTACACTATTAAAAAGTTTTGTTTGGTTATGCAGAGGCCTTTACCTTCAGCAGTTACACCTCTTTAAGTTCAAGATTTTGTTGGTGGTAATCAGACTGTTGAAATAGGACCCCTTTGAGTTCGTATGCTGGATGATGTTTGCCTGTATATAGACAAAAACATAACTAACCTGTATATATGCAGTATTTAGGCATACCTAGTTACCCTAAATAATTAAAAAAAGTAGATTAAAATGAGTAAAGGAGGGTTTCATTTATGTAACAAGGGAACACAAGTGGTACTAAATAAATCTTTGTATAAATCAGAATACAAGGTGAAAATTTAATGATCCATGTAACTAATACACGACTCTGGCAGATGTGAATCTGCCGTTTTCCCTTCTTTAATGCAAATAGGTTTGTAATTACAATTACAATGTTTTTCTTTTTCTTTTCTCCCTTTTAAGTTTAACCTTAGCCGGATTTCTGTGCTGCTTAATATTTGAGTCATAATTTTGCTGCTTCTCCTTTCTCCACTTCTCCATGTTTGTGAGGAGGGTACAGCAATCCCATATGATCTGGTGCCCTTAAATTAGTAGAGACTAGGCTAGATATGTGTCTCTGACTTGCTTTTCCCATCCCTCCCTGCTTTTAAATAATCATAGTATCGTTCTGGAGATTGGTAATAGCGGATTTGACTATATTCTAGTTGCAGAATAGCCATGCATGTAAGACCCTACCAACACCTGGTCTAATGCATTGGGCTAACCTGAAAGATATCCTGCCAGTTTTGGCAAAAGTAGTCTCTCAGGCATATAAGATGATAATACCAAATCCATACCTTAAAGGAAAGGATTTAGCAGAATAAATGAAGAGAACTCTCCTCAGCAAATTCAGGTTGTTTTCAGGGGTTGGAAGTATTTAGTGGAAAGTAGTGTTGATTATCACTACTGATATATTTACTTCACAATTGCTTATAGGACAGTGGTTGGATAAAATACCCTTCCTGTCATACATATGTTGAATTTATGTACTGATTTCATTAAAATATCAGTTTACAGAAGTCCTACATTCTATTTTAAGAGTATGGTTTGTACTTTTTTTAGCTCTTGTTAACCTGAAGTTGCTTTGTAGATTTCACTGTAACTTTCTTTCCTTTAGTGTATCTACCCACTTGGTTATAAACCATTAAACAGCATAATTACCTCTGCTGAGCCAGAAAATCATCAAGTTCCATCTACTCATAAGAAGAGGAAATTGTGTGATATCAGTGACTTTTCTCCTGTTGAATCACATCCAAAAACCGCAAGAACTAATAATGTGGTCAATGTTGAGCACATTATTAATGCAGACCCTGATGTCAAATGCTATCAGAATAGTTTATGTATTCCCAAGTCAAGCCTACATGATGTGTTACAAAATGACCAGCAAAAATCTAGTAACAATGTGGAGTCCTGCATGCAGAGGGTGGAGTTTGAAACAACCGCCAACACCAACAACTCTCCAGAAAGTCCTCTTAAGACTTCTAGTCCCAGAACACAACTCTTGCCAAAATCTGAACTTTGCTCAACAACATCTGAAATTTTGCTCAAAGGTGATAAAGGTTCCACTAATAACACAGATTTATGTCTTCAGTGGAGAAACATGCATAATCTTTGTTGGTTAGATTGTATTTTGTCAGCACTGGTACACTTAGAAACATTAAAATCTACTCTGGCAGAAGAGTGTGATGATGGAAAATGTTTACTCCAGAAACTCTTAACAAAATATGATCAAGCAACTGTGCTTCTGAATACCTGTAAAAGGACTAAAGTAAAAGGTGAGTAAATTTAGCTGCTGTTTCTTCATATTCAGACTGCTATAAATATGTGGAATTTAGTACAGTACACTTAAATATGTCTCTCTCCTATTTCAAGATCACAAAAGAATGAGTTACAACTCATTCCCATGAATTTGCAGAGTAGTGTGCTTTACCTCACAGAATCCCGGTAACCTCTGAAATTGTTTTTCTTGGGGCAAATGTGCACATTTTGAAAGCATCAAAACCAAGGCATCTCTTGAATTTTTTTGGTCATATCCCACATAGAGAATTTGTGAATTGTTTGTGTAATTGAGCCTTACTGTTTCCTTCCCCTCTGTTGATTAATGTATGAATCTTAATCATAAAAATAATTTCTGTTGTGGTTTATATCCTTGTATAAATGGGCAATTGCCTTGTCACACCAAAAATAGTAAAGCTGGGAACATATGTTCTCTTCTGGCTCCAGCTGTGCCCTGCGCTCATTGAAAGAATGCTTCCCCTGAGGTCTGCAAGCTGTGCTGTGGATGATATTGCTTCCTAACCTGTTTCAGTCAAAATTAGCAAAACACATTAACCTGGTTCATGTTGTCTGGAAAGGGTTAGTGAGTACTCACATGTACAGCTTAACAGCTTCCAGGACAGCAACCTCCAAGCACAGGGGCAGCTGAGGGCAACCTTCCAGGCGGCACAGCTGGAAGCAGAGGATGTGCCACTGTTATCTACTAGTATGGCCTTTGATCATTTTAGATTCTGTGGATTCAGTTTAAGACTCTTAAATTAAGTTCTGTTTTTCTTAGTCCTCTTGAACTGACTCATAGGTGTCATAAGTCTGAACTTCTGAAAGATCATCTGTTAGAAAATTAATACAGATCTGTGGTTAGCCAGTACCTTTCATGATTTTTTTTTTTTTTTTTCAATAGACATTCCCGGAAAAGTGTGTGTTTGTATATATATAGTTCCAGAACAGCATACTGGGAAAAATAATAGGTGTATAAAAAATGGTTTAATCCACTTTGTAGCAGAGAAAACATGCTATTTTACAGAGGAAAGAAAAAATATCCAAAGAAATTCTGAAGTAGTTAATATACGCTGCTTGCCAGAAAGTCAGGCTGCTTGATTTTTAGGTTTTCGGCTATTACCTGGAAGTGCTCTTACCATCACAGAACCTGCCTGAGGTGTTTTTCTTTCCCCTCTGGTGTGCTATTGCTGTGATTACAAAAGAGCTCTGGGCATAAGAGCCCTTAAATGGGGACGTTAGCTTGCTTTCCTTAGGAATGGTGTTGGAAGATGGTGTCATTTGAGATAACTTCAACCTTTTTATTTCCAGGAATTGCTGCAAAACAAATTAGTTTATTTGGGCAACAGTGGAGCAGGGATTGGATGAAGAGTATTGTTGTGGAGATTAGGTGTAGTATTTATTCTGCCCTTCAGTATAATTTTTCAGCATCTTTTATGTATGGTTCTTTTTTAAAACAATCAAAAGCAATACAGCTGCAAGAAACTTATTTTTACCTTTTTTATGTACATAGGTTTTATAAGTAAGAAATAGTTTCCACAGCTATTCTCTTATATTTTTATATTCCATAGTCTTCCTTTAATTTGTACAGGTTATGATAATGATTGTGTAGAAGTTACGTTCTTGCTTGTGCTTAAAGAACGTGTTTGTGTATGAACAATGTAACTTGTAAATTTAAAATGCGTATTAAGATATATAATGTACACTAATTTTAAAAATTATTGTTACTATTTTAAAGGCTGACTTAGGAAATTATTATTTAATCTGGAACAAAACATTACAAATTTTTATTATGAATTGTATAACATCATTGCAAAGCATGTAAGCAAATTTTTACACTTTTGATATTAATATTTAGTTTTTAAAATCTACTCTTAATCTCGGGGGGGGAGGGGTTGTAATGTCTGTTACATTATCCTTAAATGTCATTACCATCTAGCTATTAGTATGGACTCTTAGCCATAATTTAAGTCAGGTCCAGTAATTTCTGGTTAGCAGTCTGCAGTAAAATGTGTATAACTTGTGTAAATTCTTCTGTAATGTTAAAAACAACACCAAGCATTGGCTATTTAACAACAGTTTCAGGCAAATAGGTCGATATGAAGGATGTCAGTTTGCAGAGAATGAGTGTATGTTAGGGGTACATAAGTGTGTGAAAGGGTGGAGGCGTTACACAAAAATACATGAAAGCATATGTATTTTTTTTTCTTCAGATGTTCTTCCAAAAGTAGAATCGTATCTCAATGAAATCAGAAACAGAATTTTTACACAGCTTCAGCCTCAGCTTAAGTGTGAATTGGGTGAGTAATTAGTGCAGCATCTCAGTACTTACTTTCAGGAAACTCTACACGTAAAGTGTTGTAGTATGTCAATACATAAAAATATGTATGTACATATGCATCCAAGACAGCCTGCAAATAGTTTTTTTTTTTCTTGGCGACATACACATATTTTACAGTGTAATCAGCTGTTTTGTCCCTTGACTGTTTTTTGACGTTTTAGAGAGCGTATTCTCGTCTTTGTAACTATGCTGTGGTCATGAAATTGTCATTGATAACAACCTAATAACATGCATCAGTTCCCTTGCTGTGAGGATTATAAATACAGCCTTGAAGGGATAACTGGAATTAAAATCATAGCAATGAGCTTATCTTCTTCCTTTTTGAAGTAATGAAAGCTGATTTCAAATATTCAGTGACTGTTTTTTCTGCCCCATCTTTGAAGGTAAGAAGGAGAGTCCAGTGTTTGCACTCCCTCTACTTTTACAACTGGATCAACAAGCTGAGAAACTATTCTTGTATTCATTTTCATGGAAATTTGAATGTGTATGTTGTGGCTACAAATACCAGGACCGGTGAGATTTTTATTTAAGTAGCTTCTATATAACTATTCTACCTTACCTTTTTAAATCTCCATCTAATAGTTGATTTTCTTCAGATCTCCAGGTTTTGTACAGCTTAAGCTTGTTGGTGAAGTTTTACGTGATACACTTTTTTTAGGCTAGGATTTGCAAATAATTTACTACTATGTCATGTCTTAAGAAACCACGTTATCACTTAATTAAAAAAGAAATAATAAGTAACTCTGTGACTCCCTGGCCATGCTTACTCTAATATTTTGCTGAGAGTGTACAAATTGCTGTGGTTCTAAAGAATATATGCCTAGTACACTTTTGCTATTGAAGAATAACTGTAATATTCACTTGGATTACAAAGAATCAGAGATTCTCTCACATAATTTATCTATTTTAAAATAGTATTACAGAGAAGTAATTTCTTGAGAATTGATTTAGTTCTGTGTAGCTGTAGGTACAAGCTAGTCATTTAGGCTCCTTTTAGTCAGCAGAAAAAGAGAGGCACCTTCAGAAGACAGATCACTTGAAAAATACCTGTTTCTCTCCACTATCTTAGGGTTATGCAATAAAATTCTAGATCCCCAAGTAAGATGAGGTTAATGCTATCTGTTACACTGCCAGCTCACGTGTAGTCCTGGTTAATAGGATGTGTTCAAGAGCCTTTGTTACATACTGTGTGTTTTTTAAAAAGTTGAAAAATCTAGGTTAGGTTGAATATAAAGGAAGTCCTTTCTGTGGCTAGCGAATGAATAAACTATGTTATTTCACTTTAATATCCCGTACATTGTATTTTCATACAATATAACCTCAGTGTAATTTCTGCTCTGAATGTACCGGTTTTTTGAAAACAAGACCTTGTATAACATAGATTCTGAGGTAATTTGTTACCACTTCCTTCTCTCCTTGAGATTCTGTCTTAGCTAGTAAATTATACGGTTCCTGGTACAAGCTCTGTCTTATGTTGAAAAGGAAACAGAGATAACATGCTAAAGGAGAAAGAGCAAATAATGTGAAATTGAAGGCCACAGAGCTGCCAGAACAAATGGTGACTGATACTGTTTGGCAGAACTGAATTCAGCTCTGACTTTGATGTGATGCAGTCACAGTGGAATTAATACAAATGGCATGTATATGAATAGAATTTGGGTTTGTCTTAACATTTTAATAACTTTTTTCCTAGTAAAGTCTGTACATTTATTGTTTTCTGATCAGCAGCTCAACTTACTCTTTTTTTGTGTGTGTGTGTGTCCAGATTTAGGAAAACACTAACAACATTCACAAATATAATCCCTGATTGGCATCCACTTAATGCTGTTCATATTGGACCATGTAATAACTGTAGTGATAGATCTCAAAGAAGACAGATGACTTTGGAAAAGTAAGTTTGAATATGTGATCTTCAAAATACAGTACATAAAATTCTGAGATTTCATTTATTGAATGTGTCACTTTCAAAACCAAACTATTATCTTGGGTTTACAGAGATTCTAATTTTTACATTCTGTTAAATACTCACTTTTTAAGATCTTAGATCATTCTTAAATGCTGAAATGGCAAATAGTGTTTAACACGAAACACAGAGCAATGTTTAACATGCTGAGCAGCACATGTGTTTGAGCCAGGTCATAAATACAGTGTCAGCCTCTCCACAACCCCTGCCATTGGTGCGTAAAACTGTTGCCTCGTCATCTGTTTACTAGTTTGACTTGGGAACACTGTCCTTTCCTACTGTGGTTATGGCACAGTTGTCTCCTCATTTTTTTCACCTTTTCCCACTCCCAAAATCCCTTATGTGGTGGTGTTTTTTTCCTCTATAACAAAATGGAATATCTAGTCGGGGTATTCTTATCCCTTGACTACTGTGCAATCTGAAGAGTCCTGTGTGGAAGCAGAATAGTAAGAGCAGGACTACATACTCTTTGAGATGCCTTACTTTTTCATTAGGAACTTTTGCCACTATTTTGTTGTAATAAACTGATTCTTTGTTGTTTCTTTATTAGAGTACCCTCAATATTAATGTTACATTTCGTAGAAGGTTTGCCACATAACAACCTGAAGAGCTATTCATTTCAGTTTGAAGACGACACCTACCAAATAACATCTATTGTTCAATATCAGACAGATAAGAAGCACTTCATAACCTGGTCTTTGAATACTGATGGTAAGAACCATAAATTCTATTATAATACTTCATGAGTCTACATCAAATACCGTTTTAGGGGTTACTGCAATAGTCTCAACAGTCCATATATAATATCAAGGGTTTCTTCTTCTTCTAAACTTCATATTAAAATATTGTGGATAATTGTGGGAACTTTGTCACTCTGGGTGAAGTTTTCAGTTTGGTTTAACTGACTTGTTCAGCGATGTTCTGTCCTACACAGTAGTCAGTGACAAAAGTTATTTGGGTAGAGCTGTTTCCTTTCATATCTTTGTAAAACTTAAAAAATACAATCTGAGCATGGCTGTGGGACAAATGGTATTGGTCATTCTGAAGCCAGTTATTAATCCATTCTTGGCTGGAAGTGTGGAAACCTATAGAACTATCAGCATTAATGAAGTTTCTTTTCATTTCTGAACTTTACTGCACCTGAGGTACAAATCCATGTTAGAAACATTTCTAATGGTATGATGATTGTACCATTGATGGGAACTCCATAATCACAGAAGGTGAAAAGTTGATGATTTAATTCTCATGCTTCTGTTAAGAGAACGGAGTGCAGTCTTATCAAGACAACATGAAAATTGTCTAAATCATACTGTCATAGTTTAAGAAGAAATAGGAAGAGGAAGCATCTGGGAAGTGCCTAGTTAGGAACATCCTGGACATCATATATACCTATCTTTAAATTCTTAAAGCTATAAAATATTTGCTTATGATCTATGAACAATTTGCAGGTGATGCGGCAGATTATTACAATGAGCAGTTTCTTTTAAACCCCCATGCCTCCTACCCAGGCAATGTAAAGGTCTACAGAGAAACTTAATTTGAGCGGTGGTTCTTCCCTCAGACCTGTGCAAGTATTTCCAGACAAGATGTCAGTATCATTAGCTCAGACAAAAAACCCCTTTTGTTCACTTTTTGGTTGACGTACTCTGACCTGTAATAATATTGCTGCAAATTCTGCTTGTGTGCGGTCTTTTTACAGCGGAAATCTCCCAGTTTTCCCTGATGTAATAAAGAATGGAGAAAACGCATTTATTTTCTGCTTGTCAGGGGAATGGGTCAATAAAAATATTTGACAAGTGTCTGAGTATAGTGACTTCAATTTTTAAAGTCTCTGAGTCTCTGCATTGGTTGCTATTTATTTTTCAGGAACTTGGCTTGAATGTGATGATTTAAAGGGGCCATACTGCAAGAGACATAAAAGATTTGAAGTTCCTTCTTCAGAGATTCATATTGTTATCTGGGAAAAGAAAACATCCCATGCACCAAAAGAACTGAACTCACCATTCCCGAGTAAAAATACGGAAGATTTTCCTCTTAATAATGTACAGTCAAATTCCACAGTGTTGCATTGTGGTTTTGCTAACACTGTAGACAAAATACTTTCAGAGCATCACAAAGAGGATTCTGCAAGAACTCCAGAGAAGAAACAGCAGCGGGTAGCTGAGGATGAAAGTATTGCTCGTCATGATTCAGAAAATCTGGCACATGATGATCTTGTAACACTGATGCTTGAAGAAATTCAGGTTGATTCAGAAGGTAAATCACTGCTGAACAGACAGATAGTGGGAAATAACCTTGTTGAAATGGACGCACTGCAACAGCAGGAATTAGCTTTTTCACCTAACACTCTACATACAGGAGAGTTTGCTGGAACTAGTCTAGCTATGAACAATAAATGCACGTTATATGAAAATTCCAGCATTTGCTTAACTCTAGAAGAATCGAACCCAAAAAATATAACTCCTCCCATGCCCAAAAAACATGACCCTGACCCATCTGACTCATCACTTGCTCAGAGAATGGATGACAGAACTAATTTACCTAACAGAGAACATGGATTAAATTCAGAACTACAGCTAAGCAAGAAGTTGTCACCAGTGGAGAATATCACACAAAAATCACCTGACTTGAAAGATGCAAGCAAAATTGTAGTTAATTCTCAGGTTGCCAATTCTTCTGCTGCCAATAATTCCTTTCGACCTTCACACAAAGACCAAAAAAGAGGATTTGTAGGAAGCTGGGTAAAGAAATTACTAAGCAAGAATTCTTCTTTCATGCCTTCAAGTGCCTCAGCTCTCAAGAATGAGAGAAGTTGCAAAACTCCCTCAATGCAAAAAATAAGTGAAGTGCGATTGCCAGTTAAGGGAGCAAGTAACTTTGGTGGATTTCAAAGCAAAGGTACAAACAAAACAACTGCACCCCCAAAGTCAGTGGTTCCTCAGAGTAATAATACTCATCCTTTATCAAATTTCAAAGGCTTTTCTCAAAGCACTCATCTTCCAACAGCAAGTCAAACCAGTATTGAAGGTCCAACTTGGAATAAGTCAGCAAGTGTCTTGAGTACCTCAGGTAAAGTGACTCAGTTCCATTCACCTAGCTGTAACTCTGGGAAAGCAGAAGAGTCAGATAGTGACAAAACAAGAAAACTTCGCCTAAAACTGTTAAGAAAACTTAATGCTAAAAAGAAGAAGTTGGCTTCACTGGATAGGCTAGCAGTGGAACAGATGAAACAAGAAAAACTTGTGAGTGGAGATGTAAGCACCCCATCACAGAGTGAATCTCACAATGACAGTGAATTATTGCAGAGCTTTTTAAAGGAACTGCAGTATCAGATTGATGTTGCAGATAATGAATCTGAATTTAATGCGAACTCTGTATCAGGGTGCACTAGCCATAGTAACAGTGATGAAATACTGGCAGAATTATTGTCCCCTACTTCAACTGTTGCTTCCTTAGAGGCTTCAAAAAGTGAAGATGAATGTATGTATATGGAGATGGTGGATAGCAGTGTGGCAACAGCAGCATCCGATGAGAAGACCAGTGTGCCAAATACAGCACTGACAAGCGAGGACCACAATTATTACAGTCCTGTAAAGGGCAGTAATTCGGAACTTCATACAATAAGCAAACCTAGTGTGAAAAAACTTGCTTTTGAAAGCCCTACGAGTGAAGATATCCTTGAAGACCTGTTCTCCATTTCAGCACCAAGCTCAATGGCAGGTGACCTAGATTTACCTCATTTTGATGAAACTCTGTTTGAAACTTGGTGAAGTTTCAAACTTTGAAGTCGGTTTCTTGGATTTAAGTATTTTTCAATATTATGTATATTTTGAAACAAAGCACTATTAAATTATATTTTCTAACTAGTTTAATTGCACACTGGCTCTACTTGAACAATTTACATTTGAGGTTTTTCTGTTCTTAAAATTTTATTGTAGCAGACAAATAAGGTTTTAATGTATTTTATTTTTCTGAGAAGCAGTTATTTTAGCTGTCAGGTATGATGATGATTTTTAATGGTCCTATGAGTCTTTTTTTGCTGCTTTTAATATGGAAAATTTATCCATATTCTACGGAGTTTGAAAAATAATAAACTTCAGTAATCTTGATGATGTAATGGTGTAAGAAATATTAGTTAGGTAGTAGTGATTTATTTTATAGGATTACCCAACTCCTGAAGTCTTTTTGTGTGACATTAAAAAAACCCAGTACCTTCTGTAATCAGGGATGTTGTGTCCTTTGATACAAAGATCATTTGCAACACTAAACTCAAGGCTGGTATTCTGTTAGGAACTCTACTCTTTTCAGAATTACTGTTCAGCAAGCTCACCCTGATGTAAAAACCCCTTGGATCCAAGGAAGGACGGATAAATGGTAGAAATTTCCTATTTAAAGTGATGGCATGTCCTGAGTTTTCATCCTGGGTAACTGAAAATATAATTTGGCAGAATATTCTTCTGAGCCAGGTTATTTTTTAAGTAAAATCAGTAAGATTTGGGTCAGAGTTTGCAGCACTAAGACAGAATATCAGATGTAACTTTTAGTTATTCATAGCTGCAAATTCACTCATAACAGAAAGGTTTCTAAGAATGAAAGTTAACTGTAAGTTAGCACCCATTACTGTTGTCACTAGGAGGTTTTCATTGCTAGAGCAGTGCTCCCCTGTCCGTATGTGAGAGTGCCAAGGAGCAGCAAGGTCAATAGGAAGAAAGTGATGGAAAAGGTGGCGAGGCAGCAGTGAGTAAGCAGAGGGATTCACATCTTGGTGTTTCTGGATTTGTATAGCTTTCGTTTTGCTAGATGGGATTCTTTTTTAAATTCACAGACACAGAGCTGAGAGTATTATATGCAGAATTAGATTAGCTGTACATTTTTCTTGTACTTGGAAATAACAAGGATTTTATCAGCAAGTCTTTGTTTCAGCCATTTTTACAGATATTTTGCATTTTTTCATTGTTTTAGATCCCAAGTTCAAAACAGTAAGTCTTCAGTCTTACTCTTCCAATAGGTGCAGTTGAACATAGTTGTTATGACAAGGCATGGCTACGGATTTAAATGGTCTTGGATTGCTTGAACCAGGTTTAAAAAGTGTTTGAAAAACTGTCAGTAGCACTGAACTCACCTTGCCAAGCTATTTCTATTGCAGTTACGTACATGTTTATCAAACTGGCACTTCAGACAATGAATGGTTTCATTCTTGAAATATAAGTCTTTGTAAAGAACTTGAGCTCCTGCTTTGTTTTAAATGTTGTAATTGGTAATGTTAAAATAGAAAACAAATCAATGAATTCTGAATGTAAAGTGCTGGTGTACTGCTGGTGAAATGTTTGTCCGTTTGTGACTTCCCTTATTAAAAAAACCAAACAAACAATGCTGACCAAAATTAAAGTTTGATTTATCAGTGAATAAAACAGGTGCCTCTATAAGACTTGAGGGGGGTGATAAGATTTTCCTGCAGAGTTTTCCAACCAGTGGTTTCTATATATGCAAACCACTAAAAAGCAGTGTGTCTCACTACCCCTGACTACTTGTTGCAGAGATTTCCCCAATGAGTGAGGACCTGCCTTCAAGCGTAAATACTGTTTGTTGCCGACTGGCTTGCAGCTGCCTGCAGCTGTGAAGTGGGAACTCCTTCACCACGGGCTCAGGACAGGGCATAGACCCGGGGGTGAGTGAAGCAACAAGCCTGGAGTTGGTGTGATGCAGAGTGCATAGGGCTACATGAGGAGGAGACCCCACTAGAAGATGAGAAAGTCCAGGTGTAAGGAGTACGGTAAGGTTTATAGCAGAGAAGGGTGTGGGGGCATATTTGCTGTGCATATATGCTTAGAGAGAAGAGAGCATCTCTGGTCACCACTGGCAGCATCTCCACAAACTGATGTCAGTCCTCAGTCTGCAGCTGCCTGGGATACAGTCTGGGTAGAAGCTCCAAGAGCAAATAAATAACACTTGAGATGATTAACAGATTTAGTTTCATACTTACTTTAGTGCTGCAAGTTCTTTGCTGCCTTTTTTCTGAAATAGCTAAAGGTGACACTGTGGATTTGTCTGTTTCTGTAAATGTTTTACCGCCTCTGATCCTGTGCAAGTGAGAATTCAGCTGAGATTTGAATGAAAACCCCATGACCAAAGAAACATTTTAGAATTCGGTGATTACTGGACTTTTTGTTTTGAGACTAGTTTTAAAATGCAGCTTTTTATTTGCCATAAAGAGAATACAAAGTATTAGCTTTCTGTCAATTAGAAACACACTAGGTGGGCTTATAGCAAATACGGTCAGTGAGCAGACGTTAGTCCACTGTGTTTGGAAGTTTATCAATGGTATAGGGTAAATTTCCCAAAGTCTGATGGTTTTATATACTTCAAAGTGATTATATTTCACATGTTCCTTCACATCTTGCATCACATAATCTTGTCAGTCTGTGTCTTCTGATTTGGGAAAGGCACAATTGTAGCAGTCACAGATTTACAGCTTTTTGAGTGCAGAATCGGCTCAATGGTGGAAGTAGCACTCTGATTCAGGGCTTACTACTTCGTGATATATTCAAATAGTTTTTATTAAAAAGAAAGGGCTGCTTTCTGTCATCCTGCCTACAGTAAACCAGCCCATCTGTAAAGGAGCTGCCTGGATGGCTTTTTAGCTGTAAACCTGCTAGAGCACTGTTCTAGAAACTCACTATGGTGCTGATTACAAATCTGCTTTTGATCTTGATGTTTTTCATGGCTGGCTATTGCCATTTATTTTCCAGCACTGTTTTTTACTTTAAGTAATTATTCCTTCCTGACAATGTATTGAGAGCGATTGTGTCTTGCCTGTGTTCCTTTTGCAAAGCTAAACAGCTGCTGTTCTCCACGTGAGCCCCTTCGTGCTCAGAGCAAAGCACGTTACCTTTTGAGCAGATTATGCAGCTCTAAGTGTGTGCTGTGCTTTAAAGTCCACCAGGATTCAGTGTTGGAGTGGAAGAGCTTACAGTCTAAGTATAGATCTAAGACAGCGTGCGGGCAGAGCAAGAGAGGGAATAAGGTTAACAGGATTATAAGGCTGATGAAGTTTGCAGCGTGCTTAGTTTTGCACCGCTATGCACAAAGAGAATGTAGTTGTTTACGAGGGAGATGCTGAAGCTGCACAGTGCAGGAGAACGCGGTGGAGCCAAGGGGCTCACCAAGGAGAGCGAATAGTGGGAAAGGAGTGTAAGGAAGTAGGCCTGGCCATTTTTAATGTAGGGACTGGTAGAATAACCTGTTGGGGGCTGGGTGTCTCCAGCTGATGTTTTCTGGAGAGGCTGAAGAACCCCTCAGGAGATGTTTCTCCTTGGACATAGGTCTATATTACCCTTTTATGTAAATGACTAAAGGGGCTTCCATAATGCCCAAGACAGGGTTTGGGCTAGCTGTAATCCTGTACCATTTACAAATAGGGCAAGTAGGCAACGTTAAAATAACCTGTGAGCTGTAAGAGTTGGCACTACGCTAGGAGATTTGCCACAGAAGTGCCTGGTGAAGAAGCATCTCCCCTTTCCTCTTTAGAAAAATGAACTTTGATCCTGGTGACTGGTCCTGCTGCAGAACCTTTCAATGGAAATGCCAGAGATGGAGAGCTGAAGAGTAGGAGAGCCCTAAATTATTTTATATCCCTCTGTTAGTGGACTGTGTGTTCAACTTCTTTGGCTTAGAGAGAGGGTAGCTCAAAATTTTTATATATGAGATCCATATTTGAGCCTTTAAACAGTGTTTTGCAGATCTCCCATACTATAACTCTGCCTTTTGTGTAGGTTGTTTTATTTTTCTGTATCCATATTTTTACTGGCTTGCTCCTTCTATTGGTGCAGCAGAGCAAGAGATTTAAGTAATGGGGAAAGCTGTGAGAGAGAAGTTGCGCATTTGAATTTTCTGAGATAGCATTTTAAACTATTTCAGTGAGCATCCATCTCCCTTTTTTCTTTCCTCCACCTTCAAGCCTTGCTTTGCCATGGGAAGATGAGATTTTTAAATGGTTTGTGCCACAGCACCACAATTGTTATCATTAACTGGCATCATCTCCAGCCAAAACTTTAGCGGTTTTGGGGCTAACTCACTGAACATCATCTACAACTATGGCCATTCGGGGGAAGCAGTGAAAATGCTATTGTTTGGTGGTGGAATCTTACTATCTTTGAAGGTTTTCTCCAAAGTTTTTTGACGACGTTCAGACCATTTCAGCTGAGACTCCTTTCTCCTCCTTTAGGTCACCCTTTCAGGTAGACCAGGGGAAAGTCTGTTTGCTGAGGGGAAGCTTGTGCAGGGGAATGAACCATACCTTCCCCGGAAAACGCCCAGCCGTGCCCTGCCACTTCCACTCCCGGCCTCTCTGGGGAGCAGATCCCATGCCTGGGAGGCAGGTCTCCTTCTCCCACTCCCGAGCTGGGACGCGGGTGTGCCTCACGGTGGGGGATGTCCCCCACGCCCCTCAGGAGGAAACGGGAAAACCGACGTCTGCAGTGACACAAGAAGGGGAAAAAACCTAGACAGGAAAAAAACATGGTGTTTCCGCCCGGTTTCGAACCGGGGA